ACAGCCACTGATATAATCTTCACAAAAAAAAAATACAAATAAACATTTTCTAATCATATACTCATTTACTTTAATCGGTTGAACAAGAAAAATTGATGAAAAAAATCCACTAACTAATGATGTTAACCATTTTTGTGTTTTTAAATCACCAAATTCAATTCCTTTAACAATAATAAAAAATATCGATATAACTGTAAGTAATAATGAGAAGCCATATGCAAACAAAATACACCACCAAGGAAATTTGATTTGACCTTTTTTCTTTTTATCATATTCAATTGATGTTTTCCTAAGTATAAAAATATCTTCTTTTTTTTCAATAGAATAAATTTTATTCCTTACGTTATTGGTAATTGTTTGAGTTTAAATATAGCTTGATGTAATGCTGAAACTTGCTTTTGATTATGTCGTGATCGGATACGTCGAAAAAATTGAATAAGTAATAGACTAGGAACAAATACAAGTATTTCAACAATTACACCAATACCAATCTAAATATGAAACTCTACAATTAAATATACATGAAGAAAAAAACATGACAAACTTGTTGAGGTGTAATATAAAGAGGACCAAATGATAGACTTGTTGTATTATTCGCTGCTTTTGCTTCTGATATTTGATTATAATAAAGAATATTTAGAAACATTGATTGAAATAAGAAAACAAAACAACATGTACATCGTTGAACTCGTGTAAATTTATCTGATGGTGGTCGACTAAAGATTGAAAACCAAAGATGACCTTCCGATACACTATAATATGCTTTTTTTGCTAAAAGATAAGAAAATTCTTGTTTTTGTAATTCACCAGCAATGGGTAAAAGACGTTCAATCTATATATATCCAATAAATTTTTATATCAAAACTTAAAATATAACCTACAAGTCCATCATCTTTTTCAACAGCTAACCATTTTTGACAAATAAAATAAGATTTTTCCATTGTTTGTAAATCACGAACAATAATATATTTAAGAAACCATGATGCTGATCCACCTGGACCTGTATTATCATGCCATAAACGAATATAATTCAATGGTCCCAATGACTTTTCAACAGACATAACAAATGAATCAATTCCGCCACGTTGAAAAATCTTTCTATTCGGATCAGCAAATATTCGAACTTGAGTTTCATCTTGATCACCAGCAAGTATAAAATGTACCTATAATGTATATTAATAATACAAAAATATATTTATAATGGTTATACTTTTGATTTTGTTCCTGAACGTTTTCGATGACCAGTAAAAACAATAATTTGATAAAAATATTGATCTTGTTTTAGATTATCAGGTAGAATTGTTACTCCTAATTTTTCAATATCTTTTTTATCTTTATAACGTGCATAAATAATTAATAAGAAATATATTATAGATAAACATATGACAGTTAAATAAATAGTTTTATTTTTATTAAAACCAGCATTAGCAAAAACATAATTCCAATTAATAGGCTCGGGTAAAACAAGAAAACCACCTGCAAATGTTGTTAAATGAGTTGAAAAACATTGTGTTTTATAATGATCTGTTAAAGGTCCAACTAGTAATCCATCTGATTGCCAATTATTATTCTTATCTAAATAATAACAACCGGATGTATATGTACGAAGTTCATAATTTTTGGTAAAATTAAATGATTGATCTAAAATGGGTGGAGTATTAATTGTTAAATTTGAACAAAATTTCTTTTTTTCAGTTGAATTTAATTCACGTAAACCAAATATAACTGATTGATGACCAACTGTACGTTGATTATCAATAAAATAATTATAATGATCATCACTGGTTAAATCTAGAAAAAGAATTATTAAAAAACGATCGGTTCGTGAAATCATACAACTTACTTGAAGGACAAAATAATGACCAACCATCAATTCGATTGATTGAACTATTTAATTGAGGTGTACTATCAAATTTATAGATTAATAAATAAGCGAGAGTTATTTGTAAAGGATGCATTTCAAAATGCAGTGAAACTGTTATATTAATATTCGATTGTGTTATATTAACATAATGTAAATTAAATAATATATGATTAAGTGATGTCACATTTTGTAAATTCATTGATGGTAAAATTAAATTAATATCACGTGGAATGATAAATTCAATTGATTGATTAGTATGAACAGAAATCTCATTACCATTGTGATCAAGTAATGAAAGTGAAATTGATGTTGAAAGATTTGTATATGATTGTGTTTGTGATTGATCAGATGATGCCAATGGTTGTATGATTGACTAAAAATAAATTAAATAGAATTCTGGAAAAAATTAAAAGTGAATCACAAACACGAAGTGATATTGTTTCATTATTTTGAATATTTATATTAAAATTTGATGGAAGACGAATTTTTGCATCTCCCATTGGTTCAACAAGTTTATTTGAAAGAGAATTAATAGAAGTTGTTTCTAATGACATAATTACAGATGATGTATTCATTGTTATATTTTGACCAATATTTAAATGAATATTTAATGCAGATGTTAATAATGATGTTATTTGATTGACTTGAGTTGTTATTTGATTTGCTGCTTGTTTTTGATAATAATTATATCGACCTTGTTCAATTGCTCCCCATGAATAATCGTTTCCACCATCAACTAAATCTTTACAAAAATAAAAGTAATCTTATTGAATAAAATTCTGTGTATATATTTCTTACTTGGATGAGCCCATACAGATTCAAGATCAGTATCATAATCACTTGGAAAATTAGTCGAACGTGAAAAATCTAAATCAAGTATACTTGTTCGTTGTTGTAATGGTCCATTAATAGCCTATAGGATATAATTTCGAAAATTTTTTATTATCGTTAGTCAAATCTTCATACTGTTAACACATTGGATGCACATTGTGAAATTTGATTAGCTGCAATTTGAACATCTTCATATGGAATTTTATTTGCCATAGAATATAAAGCTTGAGCTAATTGATAGCATTTATCAGATGCAAGCATCTGCATTCAAAATAAAAATTAACATATCAACTAGTATTGAATAGTAACGATTTTACCGAAGTTTTTTGTGTTAATTGATTTGTTGCTTCAGTAAATCGAGCTAATGATGATGCTTGCAGCTTAATACTATCTGATGTGGTAATTAGAAGATTACTTGTAAATGTTATTAGATAATCTCGAACATTTGCATAACTATTCAATTGAGAATTATATTCAATAGTAGCAGAATTATTTACTGATACTATTGTCTAATCATATACGATAAATAATAGAATAAATTTAGTTAAAATAGAGAAAAAATAACTCACCGTTTGTGAAGTCTGACTTTCTCCTAATGATGAAATTGAAATAGTTGTTGCAGAAATACCATCTAGAAACATATCACATAATTAAACAAAAACAGAAAAAGATTATCTACTCGAAATAGCATCTTCTAAATTTTTAATATTGATATTATTGAATTCGTTTGAAAGTGATGTGATAATTTGTCCTATTGCATTTTGATTTCCACTTGAAAGTATTCGAATAAGTGGATTACTTGTTAATGCATTTGCTGAATTTTGAAAGGTAGTGATCAATTTATTAATACCTTCTGAATCCGATCGTACAGTTATCGGTGACATGTAATATTCTGTTATACAATTCGATGTATCACGAATATTAATACTAATATTAAGTAATAATGTAGTATCATTTCCTGCAGGTAAGAAAACTTGAAAATTTGATACAGCACTAAATGCAATTATAACTTTTGTTGATATGTCTGCTGTGTAAACATATAGTGAATAATCTTGAATACCATCTTTATCAAACCAATCGGGACATGAAATGGTAAATGAAGTACTTGTTGTACCATTTAAAGGGCTAATCGAACAAGAACCGTTTGTAGGTGGTTGATTAATAATAAAATTCAATGCACTTAAACTTGTATCTGAAGAAAATGAATACATAACTTCAAATTGCCAGTACATTATTTGTGGATTATTAAGAAATAATTGATTTGTCGCTGTAAAATTACTTGTATTCACACCTGAATTAAATCATATAAGAAATAATATAAATAAAAAAGAAATTTTACCAAAAAACCAATTATTTTCATATAAATTCATTTGATTAAATTTTACCCATTGAACCGTTGTTGAAGATCCATTAGCAAAACCTTGATATACATTCCATGTTATATTTTTTATTATTGTACAATTATCAGGACAAATAGAAAAAAGTGCAACTTGTGTAGTTGGATTGACCAGTTGAAATTCTTGATTTTCTGAACATAATGTTGAAATAACACAAGCAGTATAAATCATCGGTGATTTAATAATTTCAACTTGAACAAGTAAATAACCAGTTGCTGTACGACTTGAATTTCGACGATTTACCATATAAACCATAAATTGATAAGTACGATTTGGTGGAAGTGCAGCTGGTAGAATTTTTATCGATGATTTTAATGAACTATTACTTCCACGATATTGCAATAATGTACTATTTTTTAAACATGATGGATTCTGTAAATCTATTCTTGAATCATCGATTGGTATTAATACTCCTTGAATATTTGGAAAATTATATGAACTATAAATTCGACAATAATATTCATATGTCCAATCCTATTCGAATAATAAAAGCAAAAATAAATACATTAATTTTAACTTACGGTTCCATTAAATGAATTTTCATCTGGATCAATCGAATATTGTCCTGGATTAAGTATTAAATCTTCTTGATATCCATGTGTTACATATAATGTTCCTAACTGAACAAGATTTGGTGTAATACCTGTTTGTGTAATTTCTATATAAGCCGAAGCTGATGATATCATACGAGGTGCTGCTACCATTGTTACAGTTAATTTCAATTCATAAAGACCATAAGAAAGAGTTCGAGCTGGAATAAAAATCTCACTGTATGTTGTACTGATTGTTTGATCAACTACAATTTGTTGTGAACAAATTGAAGTACAATTATTAATTGTCCATTTTGTTATCATTGCAAGTGAAGTATTACAATTAAGATAAATATTTGAATTAATATAAAAATCTTGTTATCGTTGAAATTGCATTGGAGAGGTTAACGATGATGTACTAGGAATTAATATAATTCCAGGTGGAAAACAACCTTCATGGAGAAAGAGAAAGAGACATGTATATGATTTTTAGTATCATAAAACTATTACTTTGATTTGAAATGACCATATTTGATGTTGTAGGTTTTAAAGAAGTTGTTGTTACATTATTCGTTGTTATATTGATTGAATCTGTAGTTAATTGGGTCTGATGTGTAGTTGCTTCATCTAAAGTAATAAGTATTAACTTTAGTTTAATTTTTCTTCAAAAAAAAATTACAGCATGAATTATTTGACAAAAGAAATTTTTGAATTCGTCTGTTATCTTGATCAGCAATAAATATATTTCCATAGCGATCAAAACTCATACTATACGGATGATGCAATTGTGTTGATAATGGGCCACCTGAATTACTACATGCAATTATACATCGAAAACCTAGTGGTCCAGAAGCAATAATACGAGCATTGTCGGAATCTACAATAAATAGATATCCATCACCATCGAGCAAAACTCCCGTTGGATGATTGAGAGTGATGTTTCCAGGTGCTAAAGCTCCAGTTCCAGCTACTGTTGTTGCATTTTTTTGACCATTTTTAAATAATTGAATTCTATTATTTTGACGGTCTGCTACATACAAATTAATGTTATCATCAACAAATATTCCACGAGGCTGATCAAGCGCATACGCCGTTGTTCCAGGAGTACCAATTCCAGCAACGAGGGTTGAGTTCGTGGCATTATAATTCAATGATTTTTTTATAACTTGATGAAGAGCAGGCCCATTGGAACAAAACAGAAAATTGTTTTTATCGACAAAAAGACCGTAACATGTGTCGGTAACAGTCAATGCGGTTGTACTTGTAGTTGCATTCAATGTCCATTTATCTACTCGATGATTATTGCTGCCATTATCAATATAAATATCACCATTGCTAGTAACAAAAATAGCTTGTGGATCTTTTAAACCATTTGAAATAGTTCTTGTTGAATTGCTATTTCCTTGAGGCCATACCTGAACACAATCGTGCTGTGGTTCTCCAACGTAAACAGTGTTGTCGGTGTCAACAAAAACACTACTAGGATCTTTACCAACTGTACTCGAATCTGCAAAAGTTTGGGCAGTTGAATTCCATGTTGCTAATGGACAAAACTTTGGTCGATTAAATGATAGACTTGTAGTTTGATGAAACAAAAGTACTATCATTAGTAATAGTTTGAAACTATTGACTAATGACATCTTCTTGACAAATTTCACTTGTGATTTGTTATCAACTTTGATTAAGAGAAAGAATGAAATGAAAAGAAAATTTTTTGGCATACTTATTTTTTATTCAATAATAAATATTGACTTCAATTCTCGGGCATATAGTTAATCAAATTTTTTCGGAAAAATTATTTATATTTGATCAGCTGATTTTTATTTTTTAGTCTTTTTAAACATCTAGTACAGATTTTTGAGTTCATGTTCAAGGTGCGAATATTCAATTAATAATATAATTAAATTTCTTCGGAGAAAAAAATAAATATTTTATTGGAAATCAAACAAGAATTGAATATTCAATTATTGCTCATATGACTTGTCAAAAACAATATTCCTTGTTTTCTTCAGTCATATGTTTATTTTGAACTATATAATTGTCAAAAAGAAAAATAGATAAGAATTGATTCTATTTATTTTCACCTTCTCTCAATTTTGAGAAATGACACAAATGTTTTACGAAATAAAATAGAAAGTCAGTTATCATTGTTATTTAGCAGTTTTGTGAAGCAAAGATCATTATACTAATTTATTACATATTTCATATAACATCATCAACAACTTCTACAAGTAAATTACGAATGGTATGATCGGTAGTGGTCCAGGTGTTGTACATCGTACAGCAGTGTGTCTTGATGGTGAAATTCAGTTAGTATGTGCTACTTTTAGTTCTAATCCTGAAATGTCTCATGAAATGGGTAAACAATTAGGATTCTCAGAAAATCGAGTTTATGGTTCATATAAAGAAATGATTGAACAAGAACAAAAATCGAAAGGTGAGGGTGTGGGTGGAGGTGGTCTTGATCTACACCCACACCCTCAAGATGGTTGGCCTATCTATTTACACAGATGTATCTGCAAATTGATGAATGTTGTTTGTTTTATGATTAGAGAAGAACACTCACCCACACTCTTTAACAATGAAAATAAATATAAAATGCTTTTCATAAAAGACGAAAGTACACAATCATTTAAACGCTCTTTATTTATTGGACTCTTTTCTTTCTCTGTATCTCATCGATAATAAGATTTTAGTTCAACTAATTTTCGTCCTTGTTCTATTCCTAGCCGACTATATAGTCAATGTAGACAGGAATAATTCTTGAACTTTTTCTTTTCTTCTCTTGCTGCATACGTTTAAAATGCATGACACGTTCTTTGACTTTGTTGAGATTCGAATGACGAGATGATTGAGCTGATCTTAACTCTGAAAATGCACTATTAACTCGAATGCCACAAACAGTCCCATTGACTTTTCGCTTGATAACTTTTTCATAAGTGATATCATTCACCTGGTTCTGCTGTACTTCTTTTTTGAACCTTTGTGTCATCTTCTTTCTTGCCAACACTATTTGTGGTACATCTCCACATTCATAGCTACTGCACTGATCAACACGGAAATTATTTTCTGTTCTTTGATTTGATACTTCATACATTCTGTTCATCGCTTCGATCGTTGAAATCTGCATGAAAATGCTCAATTTTAATTGAGTACGATGATTAGCAGGCAATGAAAAATGATTATCCTACTTACATGCTTGTCATTCTTGATTATGGCATTCGACAGTGTGGGGATGCTATCAGAACTATTCGAGCTCGCGTTCAAAACATTGTAAACAAAGTCATCTCTAAGTGGTCTGAAAATAATATCTGTCGATGATCTTGACACATTAGTCCATCGACAGTTCTCGTCGATACATCGTTCAATGTGATACAATTCGATGCATCTTTGTTTGCTGTTGATTCGACGAGGAAGAATACCACATGGACTACAAGAAAAATGAAACAATTTGATGTAAGTTAGCAACTGAAACAGACTAGAAATAATAGCAGCATACACAGCATGATAATGCAAGTATAGTTAGTAGAGCTAAGCTGGTGACCGTTCCAAAAATAGGCCAATTGATTGTTTCTGACGGTGTAGTCTGGGATAGATTGGTAGATGGGACGACTACATGTACAAGAAATTGAATGGGCACTGAGCTGAGTGGAGTGTTGCTAAATGAATCTATAAAATCTTCGACCTTAATCAAAGAAAAAAAGAGATAACAGTGTTCTTTTCATAGATGCAAAGGTTCTTACTATAACAGTGACAGCATACCAATCATCGATACTTTCACCTGTAATTATAATAGTACAATTGGGATAGATAGTGGTGTTTTTTGCTAATGAAACAGGTGCACACGCTTCTCCACATTCATTAACTGTACTCGAATTCATCGCCCATCGACAACGAATGGTATCCCCGTCAGTATCTCTCACTTCTATATTGATAGCTGTTGACTGATTGACAGGAATCATCACCGGAGCCATTGGAGTGACTACTGGTGCATTGTTAAAGAGGCCATTATCTGTTCTCGGTGTGAGAATGATGTGTAAGGAGAGAGATCACGAAGGACTGTTAATGTACCTTAACGGACGCCAAGCAGAATCCTGAAAGCCTACACTAAAATCTACGCCTGATGTCAAATTGATTATGTCTGAACGTTGTCCCGTGACAGTTCCGGTTGAGGTTAAAATGTTTGTACAGTAAGGTTTAATCGGTGGAGCTATATAGCTAACAGAGCCATTGGTACAATTACTTATACAATTCAGGTATGCACTGTTCAGTCTATTAAAAGTTGAATTGAATATAACTGATTGGTTGTTGGCAATCATAGCATCTGTGCACAGCACATTCCCTAATGTCCATAAATACGTTTGTGTGATGACAATAGCCACTGGTGATCCCGTAGCGGATGCATTTAATAGACGCCAAGTGATAGTACCGCCCTGAAAATGAACGCTAACCACTGCGTAAATCAAGTTATAGAATACTACGAATAATAAGCTGCGTATCATTTAAACAACTATTCGAACAGAAGAGGCTGCGTATTCAACTGAAAAATGTTTTTATTAAGTGCACTTATACGTAATCAAGAAAAAAAACCAAGGTACCTTCTGATTATTTTTTGTTTTATTATTACTAGGGTTTCAATTTTCAATTTTGCATGTCATACAATCTATGAATTCTATTACTTATATGCATTCAGTAAGCATTGAGATTTTCGTTTGTGTGTAAGTTGCTTTATCATAATATATGACATTGGTGAACAACTTAACCAGACTAGACTAACTAGTCGTTCGTAACAGAGACTAGGGTGCAGGGTGGGCGTCGATAAACATGCACCAAACCCATACTGCTGAAGCTTGAGTTTTGATCACTCAGTTTGGGTTAAACATCGAAAGTTTTGACGTCTTACACACAGTCAAATCTAAACCTAAACCCATCAGATCAAAACGGTTTAGGCTGGATGCATTTTAAGTGAGGGTGGGGTGAGCGGATGTGGATAAAACTGAAATCAACATACATACACAACTATCCTCTATCATGCACTACTGAAAAGACATCGTGAAATCAGCTGAAAGAAAAAGAACCGAATATTTCTACTGGCCGTCAAAAGATATTTTAGGTACTGCTGATCTGAATTGTGTACCTCAGCCAATTCGATCTTTAAATATGAAAATTTCGTTACATGCCTAAAAAAACTTTGCTTTACAAGATAGGATAGTTTTTGTATGCATCTGAAATTACCAATTGAGCAGGTATTTCACGATTCGAACGCAGTTCTTGTTCAGAAACTTTTACGCACTTGTCAAAAGGTAATCGAAGAGAAAGAAAATTTTATTATTTTATTTTTTTTCCTAAGTTTATAGTAAAGTTTTTGGTATTGAGCACTTTTATCGTAAACGATATAACTCGATACGTTTATATTTCATTCGATTATTTATTTTTCAGATGATAAAATGTTTCTGAAAGTATATTTTTGTTATAAATATAATTATACATTTCATTTGTATGAGATTTGTCCTTTATATTGTTCAGGATATTTTTGGAGTTGAAACGAACGACGTCCTATTATCATTCGACAATATGTAGAACAATATGGTGATTTATCGAAAAAGTAATCAAATATAAATTACATCTTTAGAAGCATCTATCAGGTATTTTGATGTCTAGTATTTGCGCAATATCGTTGTCTCGAAATGATTAACACAGATCAAACATGCCAAGAAATTGCTATAGCATTGTTATCATTAGCAAACGATACTGAAGAAATAGCACGAAGCCAAATTAGATCGATCAATAATTGTGTTGACAACTGATTGAATAACTTTATTAGGTAATAATGGTGAAGCCAATGTAGTTTTAACAATTCATGGATGTGCAGAATATGCCTTTAGTTGAAAACTATTAACAATATTATCTTATGACATTTTTGATTTTTTCAAAGATGATTTGAATAACTGTTTTATTCATTGAATTGTATTTCTTTGTGCAAAAGCGTAGTGATTTTTATTAAGTGTTTTGTTAATTATGTCTATATCCTCTCATCTATGTAGATTTTTAATACGATCAACATAAGTTCTTCTATTAGATAGGTACTTTCTGTTTTTTTAGGGTGTCTATGTAGATAAGTGAGAAGAGGTAAGTGCAGGTGTGTGATGAATATTATATTCATACCCACACCCACCCTTAGACAGATTTCATTCTTATTCATTTATCTTTTTTCTTCTCTCTTCCCTTTCGCTCAATAAATCATGAAATTACAAAAATAAATCTAATAAAATTTCTCTTCATAAGTTTTGTTTATTAATTTAAATCTTTTTCTCCATATGAAAAATATTTTATTTGATCTTTCTGTAAAAATAAATTTTTTTGTAATTGAATGTTCTTTGAAATTCTTCTAATTTTATTCATTTTCGTTTTTTGTTTTAAAAATAAAATTAACAAATATTTACTTACTTTTTTTCTAAGAATGAAAAACAAGTTTATTTATTCTTATTTATTTCCTTTAAGATTTTTCAGAAATAAAAATCGAAATTTTATCAAATTAAATTAAAAAGATTTTTTATTTCAAATTTTTTCATATTTTTGGACTCGATGATTATTAGAATCAGCAACATAAAGGTTTTCTTCATTATCAAATGATAAACCTGTGGGATAATACAATTCATTTGATTGACTTCCACAATTATTTCCACCAACAACAATTTCACCTTCTTCATCTCCTTCACACCAACGCATTACTCGATTATTCCAACAATCTGCCACGTAGATTTGACCCAAATGATCAACAACCACTCCTCGAGGATGAGACAATTGTTTGAGACTATTTCCTTGATCATTTCCACCAGCAACAATAATTCCTTCTTTTGCATCTTTTTTCCATTTCATTACACGATGATTCTCATAATCTGATATATAAAGAGAATATTCTGATTCAATAAAGATAAAAAGAGGATTATTGAGTTGATTAAGTTGGTTTCCTTTACCATTACCACCTGCAACTAATTCACCTTTTTCATCTCCTTTTTTCCATCGTCGTACTTCATGATTCTCCCAATCAGAAACATAAATAAATCCATTTTTGTCGATTGTTAGACCAAAACAATAAATATTTGAAATAATAGTTTGTTGATTTGTTTGATTTTGATTAAAATATCGAATTACTTGTCTATTTCCCCATTTCGAAATAATAAAAGAACTATTTTTTTTATCAAAAATTATATCTACTGGAGAATAGAATTGATTATTTTGACTTCCACTCTCATCTACAATGATTTGACCAGTACTTGATTTCAATTTCCATTTAACAATACGATTATTCGAAGAATCAGCAATATAAATTGATTTATCATTATCAATAAACATCCCGTGAGGACCAGAGAGTTGATTTAATTCTTGTCCTTTTCCATTTCCTCCAGCAACAGTAATTGCAAACTGTTGAAATTTATTTTTTTTTGTTTGAATTTCTGCTAAAAAAAAACATTTTCTTTTTATCCAAAATATCTTTCTCATTATTTTTAAATCAAAAAAGCGTAAAAATAAGAAGAAAAAACTTGTGTTTGATTTAATTTTTGTTAAATTTAATTTTTAATAAACAAAATTAATTTCAAATAATTTCTTCATCTGTTCAGATTTTTTATTTGAATGATTTAAATAAAATTGATTAAAAACTTCTTTTTCTATTAATAAATTAAATAATTTTTTTGTTTCAAAAATTCTAAACTAAAAAGTTAAACTTAACTTTATTTTATTCAACTACTTAAAAAAATCTAATTTTTTAGTTGAAAAATTTCTGAGAAAAGGACGTGGGTGTGGGTGGTAGAGATGTCCATCGCGGTTGTGAATCTGCCGCTGCCGCGCCGCGACGATAATCAATGAAAGCTACCGAGCCGCTGCCGCGATGGTATTTTTTAAAATCTTTGGATTTTCAAGGCTGTGACCATTTTAAACTAGAGTGGCTCCTGCCAATCAATAAGATTCTTGAGGGTGTGGGTGTGGGTGTGAATGTGGATATCGGTACACTAATATAACAACTACTAATGTCATAGCTACCCTGACCCACCCTCAATCTGAAAGTCGATGAAACTGTTTTTTAGACAAAATTACTATTATTGTTATTTGATGAAACATACCTCGTTTTAATTGAGATCGAGTTAACATTTTATCTATTGTTGTTGGATTCTTTGATATAGTCGCTGTACTAATTGTAGAATGATTTGATTGATAAGAATCTTAATGAAAAGAAAATACAATGATTTCATTTGAGAATAATAGAAAAATATCTAAATAATACTCCTTTAGATTATGAGGACTATTGTTTAAGTTTTTGAAATAATTTAAAATAGAACGAATGAAAATATAATTTTATGATTTTAAATTTTTCCAATAGAGATATAAAGAGAGAGAATTTGTTCATATTTTATCTTTTAAATACGAATCACAAAGTTTCTTTTATAAAATACGAAATGATATTCATTTATAAAAGAAACATAGAAACAGATAATAATCATCATTAATTTAATAAGATCTATAATGTTTTATTGAAACAAAAGTCAATTATTCTATTAAACTAGATTTTATTTTCATCGATCTTAAAAATATTTGTTTTATCATTTATCTTAAAAATAAAATTGTACAAGTCTAATCTTTAATGGTGTGAGTGTGGGCGTGAGTATCCGTCTTCCGTTAACTTCAGTCAAACTCACACCCACACCCTACACTAATAACGAAACTCATCGACTTGATGTTTTCTCTTTTTCAAATTCCTACAGGAACAAAACACGTTGCAGAAATGAACATATATGTGGCATTTAGAATCATTGAAAAGTCATGACACTAGCCTGCGAATCTCATTAAACTTTAAGTTTATGAAAATTTTTGTAGTTAAAATGGGCAATAGTTCGTACAATGATATCCATTAAAACTCTACCTCACACACATTGATCTCGAAAAGGAAAAAAAAGCTGTAAAATAAGATAGGTTGAGTAATACTTACTGTCTTTGGTTATTTATGAATCAATTGCTATTCTGTCTATTTGGACGTTTACGTTAGTAATAGTTTCTTTCGTCAGAATGAATAAAGGTATGCATAGCATACATAGTTCACCTTTTATAAATGAAGTGAAATAAATTCTTTTATCTTACTTTGTAAAAGAATGATACACAAAGTTACATATCCAAGTTGGTAAGAAGTATTTGTTTTGCTTCTATTGACGATGATATTATTTATCTTCATAGAGTTGCTTCTCTGCTTAAAAAAGATAATAACAAAAATCTTGACGAGTGTGAATATAGATGTGAATGTCGATATTATATTCAAATTTTTCACACAGTCACACATGTATTACTGGTGTAACAGAGGGGAAGAAAATGGATAACTATCTATTTCATTTAAAGCTTTGTCCATCTAAATTTTACTTTTTCAAAATTGTTTATTTAGTTTCGAATAGGACAATAACTGAATGTTATTCTTCCGTTTGAATCATACGCACTCTCGGTTTTTTGTTCTTCTTATGAAGAATGAAGAAGACAAGAACAAAAGGATCTTTTCTTATATCTTAACTTTAAGTTTAGACGAACATGAGTATGACGTTATTAGGAAAACATTAGCAAAGTGAAGGACTTGCTACTGTGAATTCAAATGAGATATTAAATTAGTGTATGTAAATCAATTCACGCCGTCTTCACCTTGATGTTTATTTGCAATGTAAGTATTATGTGAACAGAGACATTAAAAATAGACTAAAACACATCTTATCCAGACTTAAAAGTTGAGTTTAATGCATATTTGATTAAAACGTTTCACATAATCATCTTGTATTTGAGTTGAATTATTTGTAATGAAAAATAATTTTTTGCCCTTTTAAAATAACAAACTACTTAGACATTACAGTTAATTATAAAAACAAAATATTATTCTAATTTCAAGATGGTGACTGAACAATCTGATATTTCTATTATATGACTGATGCAACGGTAATTCCAAGTGACTTGGACTGATCGTTTTGTTTCGATAATAAAAATAAAAATCTTGAGGGTGTGCGTGTGGATGTGGGGTGTGGTATAAGTATCTTAACCATTACAAACCTACATCCTTACACCCACTCACATCCACACCCTCACACACACCCACCCTCAAGATGTCGTATCATTTCTTTAGGAAGACTTGCTCTTTGTTTATTCTTTTCTTTTTCAGTTTACCTCATTTACCTTTTTTGTTTATTTTATTCAGTTCATTTATTATTTTTAGATTTTTTTTGCTTTAAAAATTGTTATATAGAGTCCTGATGAGTGTTGCTTTATTTCAATAAATAGCATAAAACTCATCGGCAACGTTAAATCCTGCATTTGTTTATTAATTTAATAAGAAAATCATTTTCAATTAATTTCGACAAAATAATCGATTGCTGAAAAGCAAGAGTTGAGATCAGCAGTTTATTTATATCTTAGATATATAGATCGATTTGTTTTCAATCGATTTGCACCCACAATCACATCCGCAAGGGTGCCATCCAACATCGACAATATTGTACATATCTAACATGATATTAGGACGATTTGTCTGCTGGCACCCAGAAATCCTTGAGCAAGGATCAAAACGATTTTCATAAGTAGATTAGAGTTATCTTACAAACTCACCGATACTCGCATGCATTTGTAGTCTTTCTCGACGCTTTGTTCTGTCTTATGATAAGAACTTCTCTTTTTGCTAACCGAATAAGAGCCAGATGAGTAATCTTGTTTGTTCTGTCGCTGCATCAGCAGAAGAGGCGCTATGAATTATTCTTTTTTACTTTAATGAGATTTTGATTATATATTGACAGAGTACACATAATTTATAGAGATTGTGTGTGACAGAGGAAGAAATAAAAAGATTAAATCTTAACCTTTCTGTGCTTGCATTTGCTCAAATTTCAAGTTTGTTTTACAAGATTGAAAAGAAAACCCATTAAGTACAAAATGACTTCTTCCAATCACTTTATGCATGTAATAAAAAACGACACGTAAGTAAGAGACTTATTTTCTTCTTCTCCTCCTCAGTCTTCGCAGTTAGTGAGATGTGTGCCGCTTGCTATGGCTCTGACACAGGCACACGTATATCCACTAGTGCACGCCGTAAATTAGCGTGAGGGTGTGGATGTGGGTATGGATGAGACGTTGGGATGTTCATTAAACAAAAACATTCATCTCATACCTACACCCAAACTCTCTCTTTAGAAGACAGGAAATGTTTTTAAAAATAATTTCATCGTTAAAACACGAATTCAGTAAGAATATATTACTCTGCAATTTTTCAAGCTTCTGAATGTTGTCTTTCTTACACTCACTTTTGCAAGAATAGAAAGATTTTAATATATAATAACAAACCACTCTTGATTTTTTTCTGATTAAACAGAAAAGAAAAAACGACGTGCACCTCTTTTTTTCACGTCGGCTGTGTCGATAGCGTCAAATAAAAACAGAAAAATTTCAGAAGCATTAATTTGAAAAAAAAATGAGTGCTAACAACGAAATGGTTTCTCGTTATGCTCTACCACGTGTAATCCTAGCTGCGGTAATGCAAGCACAGCCTCTTTCTCCTCTACGCAGCTGGAAAAACAACGTCAAAGTACCGAACTGCTTCGAAATTTTTCGACTGGTGGTACTAGTCGAAAAACCATGTAACAACAGCGAACCTTTTCTCACATTCATCAGTCAAATACGTCGACGGATTAGCAGAGTAAATATCTATAAAACGATTGACGAATGTGAATGGTTTATCAACAGTCGTCATGAAGACACGGGCACTGATAACATTATAGTCGTCATCGCTAGCTCGCATACACCGTGCTTGACACATGAGATGATCAAACGAGTGCATAATTCTCCACAAGTGTTTGCCATTTACCTTTTATCGTCGGAGGTCGAATCAAATTTTTTGGAGAATGATAGTGACGAGAGTCATGGAAGTACAAAAATAAATTATGTCGAAGTAGATAAACTCGCTACTAGAATTGCCGAAGACTACAGTTTGACAGATCTACTTGAAGAAACGACAGATGTCAATCTGCGGATGATAAACAAAAATCGATTAGGCGGCAAGAGCTCGACAAATCCCACAGCAGAACAATTCTGTGGCCTCGAAATATACGATTTATGTTGTGAAAGCGCGAAATCCAACATACAAGAACTTATCTCTACATGCCGAGATTATTATGCGGGTGATACATATTATCTGAAAGTTCTTGATGAACTTGAACGCGATTACGAGCCGTCGCGCGCACTGCGATGGTATACAAAAAACTGTTTTATCTATAACTTGTTAAACAAAGCTTTGCGTACATTCGACAGGCGTCTCATCAGTCTTTTCAGTTTTTTTATTAATGACATACGGCAAGCGCTAACAAAATTGCATAGTAGCTCGGGTTTAAAGGAGCTCGTTTACCTTTATCGTGGTCAGATGATGCATCGCGGTGAAGTCACTTTTCTAGCTAAACGAGTCGGTGAGCATTTAACTATTAGATCGTTTCTTTCGACAAGTACCGATCGAACCGTGGCACTCATGTTTGTACAAACGCTAGGTCAGCAATCTGATACATCTTTGCTAGAACCTGTACTGATTGAGATCGAAGCAGATCCGACCATACTTGTGCTTTCACCGTTTGCTAACATCCAGTCGCAAAGTAATAATCCGGATGAAGAAGAATGGCTTTTTCATCTAAATCCTATCTTTATTCTGACTGCTGTTGAACGAGACGACA